GGAGGCAGCTGATCTATGTTTCTCTGTCACATTGATGTTTCTCTACCTCTTCCTTCTTCTCTCTCTAAAAATCAATAAAAGTCTTTTTTTAAAAAAATACCAGACCATCATTCTCATATTTCAAACCAATGGCTAGAATCCCCAAGGCCTCCAGGTGAGCGGACACTCAATTCCCAGGTCTCTGCCCTGATTAGCAATGATTTCCTTGGAAATTTCCTCCTTTCCCTTTTGAGAAACACATAGGAATTATTACATTTCTAATCAACCTCTACACTAAAAGCCCCTACCCTTTTCTCCAGCCTTTTGAAGTACTCTGCCTTAGACTACACGGCACTTCCTAAAGGAGTTTATTTTCCCCTCTCTAAATAGTAGTTAATTATATGAAGCAACCAGACATAACTTTGACTTGCTTTTTTTTTTTTTTTTTAATATTTTATTGATTTTGTACAGAGAGGAAGGGAGAGAGATAGAGAGTTAGAAACATGGATGAGAGAGAGTCATCGATCAGCTGCCTCTTGCACCCCCCCCAATGGGGATATGCCTGCAACCAAGGTACATACCCTTGACCGGAATCAAACACGGGACCTTTCAGTCCCCAAGCCTACGCTCTATCCATTGAGCCAAACCGGTTTTGGCTGACTTGCTTTTTGTCAGGCATCCTTCTAAGTATCTCAACACTGCTGTTGATCTCTCTGATTGTTAGGGACCAGATGTACATGCGGTACGTCAAGAATGCAGCATTTTTGAGATTTCCAATTGAGAAAGTAGCTAATAGCACATATTTAATATATATATTCCCTTATGAAACCTATTCAGTTTTTAATTTTGATCTGAATTTTTTCCTTAGCTAACCCAGGATTGAAATTTAATAAAGACATTCTCCCAATTCTGTACATGGAGCAAAGAATTGTTTTTGCTGTATTATATCATACATACCCTGAAAGGCCCCAAAAGTGTAGAAAATGCATATATTAGATACATAGACCAATCATCTTGAGTCTTAGAAAAATCACCTGGCCTATCTACCGCCCCAAGAAACTGCCCGCTTTGATCTCTGACCCAGAGTTGGTTGGAGAATCCGCAATTCTCCCAAGGGGATTTGGAATGGAATGTGCCTCTTAATCTCAGACTTATCTGGAAGTTGATATGAGTTGGTATATGAGCAGTCACATGCTTTTAAGTACTTGCTTAAATGCTTTTCCTATTTTGCAAATATCCACTCTCTTGATAAGAACTATCATTCCAAAAGTATTTTTGGTTAAAAAATAGTAAATACAGAAGAGTTAGATTAAGCTACAAAGGAGAATTTGAATTTGTTCTAAGGACATAGGTATTTTTTGTTTTGTTTGTTTGTTTTGTTTTTAACCTAAGGAAGGCAGTGCAAAAATGCAACAGAAAATTGAGAGACTTCCAGAACAAAAATCTCCCTCTCTCTCTCTCTCCCCCCTCCCTTCCTTTCTCTCTCTCTCTCTCTCTCATCTCTCTCCCATGAAGCCTCCCCTCTCCTCTCTGCTTCTTCCTGGGTACCAGCTTCCTTCTCTCTCCACAGATCAGCTTTTGCTGACTCTCAGTTCATAAGGAGCCATGTGGCTCTTTGTGAGTTTTTACATGTCTACTGTTAAGAGACTAATCCCAGTTGAGACTGGTATTTCCTGTTTTCAATCCTAAATTCCAAAGAATATTTGATTAGCTAAGCTTGAATCACCTGCCTGCCTTAGAATTCAAGGCCTCAGGTACAAACTTGCTTCTGGGAACCAATCTGGTGAGTCACCTTTGTACAGATCATAAAAGCCATCCTGGGTTTTGTTGAAAATAAAGGCATTTACAGGTATTAGAAGGGAGGAGAGGTAAAGGTCAGAAAGGACACCTTTCAAATCAGAAATACTAAGAGCAACTAGAAATAGACACTGTCCCCAATACCTCTTCTCCCAGAGTGCCCATAAGAGGTAGTGTGTGATGAGTAGGGAACTGACAATTGCTTGATTTGGCTGAAAGGGTAGCAGTGTTACTAAAACGTGAATAACTGTGTTTTATCTTTCATTGTTAAACTAGAGGACTGGTGCACAAAATTTGTGTACTCAGGCAGATCCCCCAGTCTGGCCTGCACCCTCTGAAAGTCCAGGAGCCCTCAGAGAATGTCCAACTGACAAGAAGCAGGCCTAAGCCAGCAATTGGACATCCTCAGTGCTGGAACAGAGGCAGCAGAGGCTCCCACCACAGCCGCATGCTGGTCAGCCTTGAGCCCAGCTCAGAGATTCTGGCTGAGCAGAACTCCCCCTGTGGGAGTGCACTGCCCCCTAATCATCAGTGCATGTCATAAGGACTGGTGGTTTTGCTATTTGGTCAATTTGCATATTAGCCTTTTATTATATAGGATATGGCTGGTAAACAATGATGCCGCACTTGTTGTAATAGTAGGATCTGGATCTTTTCAACGGCACAGGTCTTTACATTAAAGCAATCAATAATTAATAATACACCATAGATCTTCAATTTTAGATTCAGCATCATCAAATATTGCACAAAACAAATATGTGTGAAAAGGAAGAATGTAAGAAAAAATGAATAAAATGCAGTTTTGTGTTTTGTTTTTAATATATTTTATTAATTTCAGAGAGAGGAAGGGAGAGGGAGAGAGATAGAAACATCAGTGATGAGCGAGAATCATTGATCAGCTAGCTGCCTTCCACATTATCCCCAGTGAGGATCTATCCTGAAACTCGATGTGCCCTTTACCAGACGCAAACCCAGGACCCTTCAGTCCTCAGGCTAAGGCTCTATCCACTGAGCCAAACTGGGTAGGACAGTTTTGCGGGTTTTTTTTTCTCTATGATTTTACTGTAGGAAACCAGCATAACTACCAATCCATAAACTGTTAGAAGATACACACTGCAAATAATGTACAAGATATGCTAATAAAATAAACCCAATTTATTTTTTGGCAAACTTATTTGGACATTTATAACAAATGTGAACTAGTTTCTTAAAAGCTGGCACCTGTTCTCTTATTTCAAAATTCATATATATCCAGATATTTTCTAATTTTTTATTTTGCAATATCCTTTGAAGCTTGCTCACTTCGTTTAAATTCAATTAATTTTGGCATGTGGCCATTCTTAGCAAGTAGACTTGGTTTCTAGTAATAGTTGAAATTCATCTCATGTAAGTGTGAAACACTTAAATTGGAAAAGTATTTTAAGACAAAATGTGTTGTGCCTCTAAATTAACAAGACGGCTTCACTCCCATGGCTCATAATCCAGCTCTAAGAGCAAGTCACAGGGATGAACTTCAAAATGCTGATGGTAATTTCATTGAAATTATAAAATAAATTTGATGACCACTTTGAAGAAAACAGATATTTGGATATGATAGTTCTAATACATTTGCTTAAATTTTGACTTTCTATTAGCCAAATCTGTCTTACTTAATTTGTAAAAGTTTTATCTTCTTACAAAAGAGGAAGTGTGAAAAAAAACTTTATACCTTCACCTGCATGCTCTTTCAAAGGGCTTGGAAATAGGGCATTATCTTTGTCTTAGTACTATTCCATTTTTTAAAGAAAAATCTTAGTTTAGTAATTACTTAATTTATTTCCTTTCTTTCTTCCTTCCCTTCTTTCTTCCTTTTCTTCTTTGTCCCTACCTCCCTCCCTCCCTCCTTTCCTCCCTCCCTCCCTCTTTTCCCTCCCTCCCTCCCTCTCTCTTTCCCTCTCTATCCCTCTCTCTTTCTCTCCGTAAAAAAATCAATGATATATATATATATATATATATATATATATATATATATATATATATTTTAAAAGTCCATGATCTACAAAATATGAAATATTTAAATAAAAGTGAATATTTTGTTTATTCGTTTGTTCCTTTGTAATTTGTGTGAAGTTCCTGAACTGGATAAATGTTATGCATGTTATGCCTCCCTTGGGTGGGCTTATGAGAATGGACAATGGGGTGAGAACAGATCACATAATACAGGCTGAAGTGTAGTGTCATATTTTTTATTCTAAAACTTTCATTAATTTTCTCCAATTGGTTTTATTTAATTATTTATTTATTTATTATTGTTTTTTTTGTTTTGTTTTGTTTTTTTACAGAGAAGAAGAGAGAGGGATAGAGAGTTAGAAACATCAGTGAGAGAGAACCATCTATCAGCTGCCTCTTGCACACCCCCCACTGGGGATGTTCCCACAATCAAGATAAGTGCCCTTGACTGCAATCAAACCTAGGACCCTTCAGTCTACAGGCTGACGCTCTATCCACTGAGCCAGATGGGTTTCGGCTATCCAATTGGTTCCAAACACAGGGGAATATTTTGATAAATGCTGTCAAGGAGAACATTCCTTCAGGCTCCATGTCTCTTCCACAGCTGCCTTTTACCTTTTGCTACCAAACACTGGCTGAAAGTCATGTTTTTAACTCCCACAGGTTACAACAGGTGATATGCACCATCATCCTGGTATTATAGTGCATAATGGAGAGTCATACAGTATTGTAGAAATCAACTTGAATGTCTGTTTAGACAAAACTGTTATCATTTTTTTAGATTGATATATTGTTTTGGAATAATGTGAAAGTACATAAATGACAGACATAATAAGAAAGCATAAATACAAGAAATAAATACTACAGTGTGCCATTCCCAATACAAAAGTTTGCCAGTTCTTCGACATTTAAGTAAATTTGCTGTTTATTCAGCACATGAGCTGATTCCCATTACTTATAATTTAAGTATTTGTGTCTACTGTGAATCTTGTTTTGGCTGTTTAGTCTAAAATGATTTTCCTTGTTATTTCTTGTATACTGTATGCAACCTAGATTAGCATAATCACTGTGATTAACATTAATTGAGGAGCAGAAATGAAAATGGTTTCTGAAAAGAGTTTGGCTGATATGTATAGTGGTAAAATTTTGTATTACATGAATATTCAAATTACAATATTTGATTTTAGTTCTAAAACCTCTGAAGCATTAAGTGGGAGAATAAAATTTTGGACATAGTACAAACTTGATCACTAACTCTGTAATGTGTTGCAGAAGTGAAGGGAACCAGGTTTGCTAAAGTAATTATGTTGATAGAAATATATTAACTCCAAAAGCTTCTGAGGTAGTCCATTCTACCCTAGCATAGTGTAAAATATTTTTTAAAATAAAAACAAATAAATAAACTTTGAGGCATAGATGAATATACAAATATATGCTAGACAGATATGTCAATGTGATCTATAAGGAATATACATTGCTATATTAACATATTTACTTGAAGGCACTATAACATGGTTGTTAAAAGTTTGTATATACTTTTATATATATGATTAGGGGTGGGGTTGGCCATTGAGGAAGGGCTGTGGGAGGTGGACCAATTGGGGAGCCTATTGGAAGTGGTATGGGGGGCTAATTAGAGGTGGGGTGGGGGGCCTATATAGAGTGAAGGTTGGTGGGAGGAGATGCTGAAGGAGGTTGGTCAATTGAGGGCAAGGCAGCTGGCCCAACACCCAGAACCCCTACCCATAGCTGGCCCCAACCTTAATCACTTCCCCACCCCAGTTGGCATAATGTTAGACAAATTATAAATGTTTTATAAATATCATATATGCTCTATCATTTCTCTGATTTTTTTTCTGTTTTATTGCTTACTATCACATTCTTGTTCACATTTCTGCATTTTATTTCATACGGTTTATACTAATAGATTTCACTGTTTGCAATGTTACTGACTTTCATAAATTTACATTCCTTTTCATTTCTGTTGGGAAGTTCTGAAATTCTTTATAGGTTTTCCTTCTTTTGTGTTTGTACAGATTGTACCATTTCAAGCCCAAAATTACTGCAATAAGAGCCAGGTTTTTCTTTGGAAGAATTAAAGTATTGTATATGTTAAATGAGCACTGGCCTCTCATTGTATATTTAAAGCCAGTTTAAGTTAGATAAGGTAACTCAAAAATCCAAAGGATATCTGCATTTCAAAAATACCAATTTTGGAAAGGTAGGCAATGTAGCTCAGTGTTAACTGTTAAATACACACACACACACATTTATATATTATAAAATCTATATAATAATTTATATAAATTTATGTCATTTAAATAAATAAAAATATATAAATATATATTTCAAAAGTTTAAAAATCAAAATAGGTAAGTAAAAACATCTGATGGTTTTATGTTTTTGATAATCAGATATCTTCTGTGACAGAAATGAATACAGACAGAGAAGGAAACTTGTCAGATTATTTAGCATATAGGAAGTTGTTATAAACTTCAGTATTGAGACTATAGAAGAGGTCATTCTTCCTCTGTTATTGATCACTAGAGGCCCAATGCATGAAATTCATGCACAAGGGATGTCTCTTAGCCCAGCCTGCTCCCTCTCCAATTTAGGACCCCTTGGGAGATGTCTGACTGCCAATTTAGGCCCCATCCTGCAGGGATCAGGCCTAAACTGGCAGTCAGACATCCCTCTCACAATCAGGGACTGCTGGCCCCTAACTGCTCAATTGTCTGCCTGCCTAACTGCTCCCCTGCAGGCCTGATTGATGCCTCACTGCTCCCCTGCTAGCTCAATTGCCCCCAACTTCCCTCCCTTGCTGGTCTAATCACTCTGAATTGTCCTTCCCTGCAGGCCTGGTCACCTCCAACTGCCCTCCCCTGAAGTCTTGGCCACACCCAACTGACCTCCCCTACTGGCCATCTTGTGGTGGCCATGTTGTGATGACATGGGGGTGGCCATCTTATGGTAGCCATGCTGTGATGTCATGGGGTGGCTATCTTGTGACAACCTTGCTCAATGCCACCTAAGCTTTTATTATATAGGATCAGCAAAATAGCTAGGCTTACAAACATTCCCTAACCATTGTCTTTTAAGACTATATTATCAGGTACACATTCAATTGCAAACAACATTAACAAGATATAAGGTACCATTAATTTTTTTTTTCTGTTATACAACCATCAGTCTCAAAAGAAAAGTTGATAGTGTTGGTTTAACAATGTAGCAGTATTCTGAAGAAACCAGGATTTTCCCATCTTACTACTCTATGATTCTTTACATTTTAGCATTTTAGCCTTAAGTTTGTTGTCTTATGGTTGCAATAAGGCTGCTGCAGCTCCAGTTACCAAGGCTTCATTCTAAGGCAGGTATACAAGCCATGGAAGTAAGACAATTCCTCATGTAGCTTTCCTGTTTGTGAAATTATTTTTGAACAAAGAGCATTATCAGAATACTCCTTTATGTCCTTCATGAGAAATGAAAAGTGATTACTCCTTAAGCAACTTTTAGGCTCTCTTTCTCTGAAATAAAAGGATATCTGTTTGAAAATTCTAGAAGGATTTGTAGTATGAAGGCTCTGTTAGCATGGCAGTGGTATGTGAGCAACTATTATGCCTGCCATATAGGCCTACACAAACATACATACAGACACACACATTCACACATAAACTGTCATCTGTCTTCATACTAATTTTCTTTTTTTTTTTAATTTGGTTCTAAAAAATGTTATAAACTATTAGAAAGCATTAGAGTACTAATAAATTACAGTTAATTTTTTTTTTTTTGATCAAAGGTATTTCTGAAACTAAGGTTTTATTGGAGATCAATGTCTGGAGTATTCAGTTTTAAATATAGTTAACTCAAAAAAAGAGGTAACTGTTATATCTCTTCATATCCCATAAATAATTAAGGAAAGTTAAGAGCAAAGAAAAAATACATGCTAGGAAAGGAGGTGGTGAATACTCACAATGCATGTCAAATATGCTAATCTCCTCTTAAATGTTGGTCTTAATGTTGGCTTTAAGCTTCTTAGAAACCAATAGGAAGAGGAAAATCAATCATGTCAAGATATTCACAGTATCCCTAATACAGAAATGAAGTTCTGGCCCGCAGGAAACTCAAAAACTTTGGAAAAAATCCAGAGGGTTTTCCTCATGATTCTGGTAAAAAGAATAATATAGAACCCAGTGAATCATAGTTTCACTAACATCTTCACCGCTAACACATTGCTGCATTTCTCTGGGGCAATTTCTTATGAGTGCTTTCAATGAGAGCAATAACAAACCACCTAAATCTAATTCAGTAAACACGATTTTTGGTCAAGGGCCATAGACCTGGCAAATCCTGAAACAGGAAGGATAAGAGAACAAGATGTAGTAAATCTACTTTTCTCTCTCTCCTTTGCAAATTCATGTCCGTAAATGAGAGTAACAGACAAAGAAAACGTACAAGTAAATCTATCCCGCCCCGTAGCTGGCTAACAACACATTTGATCAGTTTGAGTTAGTTTATTATTTCTAAACTTCTCTAAGTTTTAACAAGTTAATTTTTTTTTTCTCTTAGGTTTGTGCTGGTGGGATTTCAGCAACTACTAAACAACACTATAAAAAAAGGACCTGCATTCATGCAATTAACATAACCAATAGACTCAGACACTGGGGCAGTGGGGGCTTCCCCTGGGTGGGATTAGCTGGGGGGAGATGTCAATTGGGGAAAAAGGAGAGATATATACAACTTTAATCAATAAAAAAAAATTGAGGTTAAAGCGATACCATAAAGACTCAAAGATTTTTCAGAACTAGGGTTACCACTTAACTTATTTTATTTTAAATACACTTTCTTATAAATATTTTCTAAAAATAAATCAAAGATTTTAGTCATGAAAACCTTGCTGAGCAACAGTGTGTCAAAAGATTACCTTTGACCCTGACCATTGACTTTTATATCTATAAGTAATTAAATATTTAGGGAGTTAATTCATTTCAACCATTAATTTTCATCTCAGGTTAAGTGGTTTGTCTATTTGACTTCTGACTTCATTTCAAATTACCAAGACCTGAACTTAGACATCATTTGGCAAAAGATAAAAATCTCAAGGGTCCAGGAACCCCAATTATTAATTCCTCCTGTGGAGGTGACCAATCAGGCTGCAGAAGAACATCTTTTTAATACAACCTTTGAACCTCCCATGACACATGCAAAGTCAAAAATAGACATAATTTATAAGATTCAGGAAATATGCTATTGTTTTTGAAATAACATTTTTATATAATAAATGGATCTAAAGTTTATAATTGATCTCTCAGTTTGTTTTTATTCATAAAGATAATTCTTTTTAAAAGAACTATCATTTGTTCAATTTACAATAAAAATAACTCAATTTTTTTTTTTTTACTAAATCAGTGTCAGATTATCTATTGCTTGTCTTCTAATTCACCTTGAAAACATTAAACATCTTTGAACACTTAAGATCAAAACTACTATTTGGTTACCTAAGCAAATTAGAAATATGAATTTAAAAAATGCATTTTCATTGCAAAGGGTCACTGAAATTGCAGGTGCAATAAATTAACCTCTTAAGCAAGGAATTGGTTAATTGCAGGTATAGTTATTGAAACAGAAAAAATAAAAGATGGTGAAATTTTGTTAAAATTTAATCTCAAATTGTATGAGTTTTCAAACTACATTGCAATATAATTAAAAGTTTTAACAATTAAACTTGCTAACATTTGGTTTTCATGGTATCTATTTTGTAATTGTAAAGGAAAAATGCTGTTAAGAAAAATCTGAAGTTTTTATGTACTTTCTTTATTTCAAATAATTAAAATGTTTCTCCATATATAATCCTAACAAAAGCTGATAAGAAGATAAAATATGATGTCTGGGTCAGTGCTTATACCACCGTTGTGAAGAATGCAAACCCAATAGACAAAATATATTTCTCCCTCAATCCAACCTTCCATCATTAATTATTTTAATTTTTTTTAGTGGAAATAACAATATAGGTATACCAGAAAGAACATAGTTGTCTAAATCATCATCTATCCCCTTTCCTTCTAGGAATTCAAAAATAAAACAATTTAAAAAATAATTTTAAGCAAACCTAGAAACAAGATTAATTCAGGGTTTTTAAGTAAGAGTAAAGTATATTAAAAACATGTAAACTAGGGGGAAAAAACTTAACTGGAGGAAATAAAGTAAAGTGATTGTAGCTCTCAGGAAAGCAAAACACACTTCCTGAAATTAAAGGCATGATCATGAAGTGTAAATATATATAAATCTCTGTGTATATCAACAGTGGTGGTGTCCTGGCCAGCATCCTCAGTAGAGTGCCAGCTCATGCACCGAAGGGTCTCAGGTTTGAT